AGGATCTCAAACATGAGAATATTCTAACAGCAGCAAGATTGAAATTACTATCTTGTGGTGGTAAATTAAAATTTGATGGGTGGTGTTTGCCTCCTTTTTTCTTTCTTTTCTTTTTTTTTTCTTTTGAGACAAAGTCTCAAGCTTTTGCCCTGGGTACAGTGCTGTAGCATCATAACTCACAGCAACCTCAAACTCTTGGGCTTAAGCAAGTAGCTGGGACTACAGATGCCCACCACAACTCCTAGCTTTTTGTTATTGTTGTTGTTGTTATTGTTGTCATTGTTGTTTTAGCGGGCCCTGGCTGGGTTTAAACCCATCAGCCCCAGTGCATGTGGCTGGTGCCCTAATTACTGAGCTACAGGTACCAAGCCTGCCTCCTTTTTTCTTGAGAATAACCTTTCTTGATTTGAGTCTCTGTATTGAGTATGTATCAGAGAATGGTGGTGACTTCTGAAAATGCTGAGGTGGCTTGAGAGATTAAGGCACCATAATCTTTTAGAATTTATTTTTTATTTCAGATTAATGTGAAGGTACAATTAGGTTACGGTGTTTGCATGTGCTAGGTCCCTGGTGCAGTGTGTCCTGCACCAGGAGGTATGCTGTGCACCCTACACTGTGCCTGTTAGGTGGGAGCACACCCAGGACACTGTGATGTTTTCCAGCTCTTTGAGAAGACTCACCCCAACTCACCTTTTGGAGTCACGCACAGAAATAGGTAATCTCAGGTTAAAGAGAAAAGGGAAAAATAATATTGAACTTCAAATTATTTTTTCCCAGTCCGCAAGCAGCTCAATTGATAGCGTCTCTAAAAGCACAGACAGGTACAGCTAGCAACACCAGAACTTTTGGTCAAAGCCCACGAGGTCTGGCCCAGCCACCCCTGAGCGCACAGCACTGCTTCAGGGCATGGGCAGAGCTGGCCTGGATCCCCCAGCAGCTGAAAGCCCTTAACCAGTGAGCACAGGGCTGCTGCTGCTGTGGACTTACTTGCTCTGCCTGTGCTACTGGAGATGCTGTCAAGCACTTCCCAGCCCTGTGGCAGGAAAAGAGCTGGACATTCTGTGGAGCCTCCTGTCTACCAGTCAGCACCTTATAGGAAGTGTTTCATGGAAACATGGCAGACCCATGGTTAGGCTGTCCTGTTATGTGGAAGGGGAATGTCTACAGTCCAGGCACCCACAAACTATAGCCCATGGGCCACATGTAGCTTGCCTAAGACATTTATCTGGCCTACTAGGTGTTTTTTTTTTTTTTTTTTTTTTGAGACAGAGCCTCAAGCTGTCCCCCTGGGCAGAGTGCCATGGCATTACAGCTCACAGCAACCCCCAACTCCTGGGCTCAAGCGAGTCTCCTGCCTCCACCTCCCAAGTAGCTGGGACCACAGGCGCCCGCCACAACGCCCGGCCATTTTTTGGTTGCAGCCGTCATTGTTGTTTGGCGGGTCCGGGCTGGGGATTCGAACCCGCCACCTTAGGTGTACGTGGCTGGCGCCCTAGCCGGTTGAGCCATAGGCGCCGAGCCCTACTAGGTGTTTTTGCTGCTGCTGCCTGTCCAGCTTAGCAGCCGACTCATCCTGGAGCCTGCAGTCCAGCCCTCCAACAGTCTGAGGGACAGTGAACTGGACCCCTGTTTAAAAAGTTTAAGGACTCTGGTCTACACTTAGGAACTGAGCAAGTGGCCCCAGAGCCTATTGACTGGGAGTACCTGAGCTGGGGTTCAAACCCCACCTAAGTCTGTGATAACAAATAGCCAGGAATGCTGCAGACAGTGCACTTAAGTTATCAACACTAGCTCAGTGGGATGCTTTGAGACCATCAGGGACTTGCTGGAGATCTACGTTTATGTGGCATGATGATTCCATTGTCTTAGAGGATAAAGTGAGCAAAGCGAACAGGTCTGTCAGCTCATCTGCTATGTACCACTGTGCCCCTGGCCTGTGCATAGACTTCTGGAGGGAGATGTGCTGAATGATGAGGCTTCAGGTGACTTGTGCATTTTGTAGTCTTCATCATGTTTTATACTTAGAATACATCATTCTCACTGAAAGTTGGGACTGCTATCAAAAAGTGAATTTAGATGTCTGAGAAGGTCATATAATATGACCTTTTGGTTTTCAAAAGATTTCTAGGCTTGGCGCCTGTGGCTCAAGCGGCTAAGGCGCCAGCCACATACACCTGAGCTGGTAGGTTCAAATCCAGCCCAGGCCCGCCAAACAACAATGATGGCTGCAACCAAAAAATAGCTGGGGGTTGTGGCAGGCACCTGTAGTCCCAGCTACTTGGGAGGTGGAGGCAGGAGACTCACTTGAGCCCAGGAGTTGGAGGTTGCTGTGAGCCATGATGTCTCAGCACTCTACCCAGGGCGATAGCTTGAGGCTCTGTCTTAAAAAAAAAAAAAAATTTCTATGTGACTGGATTTAGCGGTTAGTACAGTGGTTACGGTGCTGGCCACATGCTTTGGGGCTGGTGGGTTCAAACCCAGCCCAGACCTGCTAAACAAACAAACAAACAAAAATAGCTAGGCATTGTGGCGGGCACTTGTAGTCCCAGCTACTAAGGAGGCTGAGGCAAGAGAATTGAGCCTAAGAGATTGAGGTTGCTGTGAGCTATGGTGCCACAGTACTCTACCCAGGGCAACAGCTTGAGACTCAGTCTCAAAAAAAAAAAAAAGATTTCTGTGAAGTAGCAGGTGAAGGATGAGTGATTGGGCACTGTGGAAGCTGGAGAGGCAGCAGATGAGACATTTCAGAGTTCTTCAAAAAGAGTTGAGGAGATGCCTTTGCCCTTGAAGCCACCCTGAGACATGCTGTGTGCCTCTCAATGGCTCTCGGGCAGGTCCTGCTTGGCGTGCTGCTGCCTAGCACCTCCTTTGTGGGAACAGTGTGGAGCCTGGGTTCTTCAACCACAGTTCTGTACATGGGGGGCCCTGGGCTTCCATCCAGAAGAAGATGACACTCAGGCTTCACTGGCATAGCAGATGGACTCTGCAGCTCTGCAGCTGCCTTAGAAAGTGGGGCCTTGGGCTCAGCACCTATAGCACAGTGGTTATGGTGCCAGCCACATGCACCAAGGCTGGTGGGTTTGAGCCAGGCCAGGCCAGCTAAGCAACAATGACAGCTGCAACAAAAAATAGCCAGGCATTGTGGGGGACACCTGTAGTCCCAGCTACTTGGGAGCCTAAGGCAAGAAAATCGCTTAAACCCAGGAGTTTGATGTTGGTGTGAGCTGTCACGCCACAGCACTATACTGAGGGTGACATAGTGAGACTCTGTCTCAAAAAAAAAAAAGAAGGTGGGGCCTTGAGGGGTTGGGTGTGGTGGCTCACACCTGTAATCTCAGCACTCTGGGAGGCCAAGCTCACAAGTATGAGACCCCCATCTCTAAAAAATAGCCAGGGGTTTTGGTGGGCGCCTATAGTCCAAGCTACTTGGGAGGCTGAGGCAAGAGAATCACTCTTGAGCCCAAGAGTTTGAGGTTGCTATGAGCTATGATGTCATAGCACTTTACCAAGGGCAACAAAGTGAGACTGTCTTAAAAAAAAAAAAAAAGTAGGGCCTTGAGTTGCTGAAGTGAACATGGGTTCCAGGTCTTGATCACTGGGCCTTCTGGCCCAGCACCTTTGAGGACTTTGCAGAAGGATCCACCTCACAGCTTCTAGGAGTAAGCACATACCAGTAGTTGTGCCCCTCCCTCTGTAGCTATCTATGCCCAACCAAGGAATTAGGGCAGGCCAGAGTTGCCAGGCTTCAGGAGCTCAGCATCTTGTTTTATTGAAGCACCTGCCTTTGTCACAGCATCCGAACCAGCTGCCAGAGTGATACCTGGGAACCCTTAGGACACCCACAGGGCTTTTACTCCACATTTTCTTTCTTTTGTGGCTTCGCTTGCTGACAAAGATGAAGCAAATTATTTTATTTCATTTTTGTCTTTTCATTTTTTATGTCCAAAAAAATAAGTAAGTGCTTAAATCAGGTAGCTTTTAAAAAAACTTTTCCTGGCTTGGTGCCTGTAGGTCAGTGAGTATGGAGCCAGCCACATACACCGAGGCTGGCAGGTTCAAGCCTAGCCCCAGCCTGCTAAACAACAATGACAAACTGTAACCAAAAAATAGCCGGGCATTGTGGTGGGCACCTGTAGTCCCAGTTACCAGGGAGGCTGTGGCAAAAGAATCACTTAAGCCCAAGAGTTTGATGTCATAGCACTCTTCCAAGAGTGACATAATGAGATTCTGTCTCAAAAAAAAAAAAGCAAAAAACCTTTTCCTTTCTCACCTTGACTTGGCCCTGACTTGGTCTCTCACCCTTGTGTCAGCTCCTAGTGGCTAGCTCGGTGGCTCAGAATAAGAAAGGCTGAGGAGGCTCGGCGCCTATAGCTCAACTGGCTAAGGCGCCAGCCATGTACACCTAAGGTGGCGGGTTCGAATCCCCAGCCCGGGCCCGCCAGACAACAATGATGGCTGCAACCAAAAAATAGCCAGGCGTTGTGGCGGGCGCCTGTGGTCCCAGCTACTTGGGAGGAGAAGGCAGGAGACTCGCTTGAGCCCAGGAGTTGGAGGTTGCTATGAGCTATAATGCCACAGCACTCTGCCCAGGGTGACAGCTTGAGGCTCTGCCTCAAAAAAAAAAAAAAGAAAGGCTGAGGAAGTGGGCTACAGCCCCCCACCATAGCAGGGAGCTGTGTGACAGACACTCCAGCAGTGAGGTGGTCATGGTAGCACTAGTCAGAGGCTGCGCCATTTGTTGTAGGAATTAACACTTACACTCTTCTGTAGTACAGAAATGCTATGGGCTGGGTATAGTGGCTTGTGCCTGTAGTTCCAGCGCTTTGGAAGGTCAAGGTGGGAGGATCATCGCTTTAGGCCAGGAGTTCAAAACCAGCCCAGGCAACATAGTGAGGCCTGTCTCTACAAAAAACAAACACAAGGGATGCTGTGAATGATCTCTTGGTATTATTTTATGGAATTATAGAAGTTTGATAGATGTATATCTTTGATTTCAATAGCTACTCTGACCTACGACACTCTCCGGTTTGCTGACTTTGAAGATTTCCCTGAGACCTCAGAGCCTGTTTGGATACTGGGTAGAAAATACAGCATTTTCACAGGTATCAGCCACTTTCCAGCCCACTCTGCTCTGATTGCTTAGTCTGTAAAAGCATTTTGTGATTATTAGCTGACTCTTCTGTAACATGTGACTTACAAATTTAAGACTATATGTATGTTTCCTTCTTTTAAACAACCTCTAGAAAAGGAGGAGCTCTTGTCTGATGTGGCATCTAGACTTTGGTTTACATACAGGAAAAACTTTCCAGCCATTGGTAAGTACCCCATTTTGTTACAATGTGAGCAAAAATACCTGTTTTAGAGAGGAGGAAAGTGTCTACTGTAGTTGAATGTGCATATGACCTATGGTCACCCTCACAGCAGCCCCAGTGCACTCCCTCACACTGCGGGTGGCAGAGGTGGAGTCCAGGCCCAGGCTCCTGGTTCTACTGGGCAGTGATTCCTCAACTGCCAGCTGCAGCTTGTTGTTGGACCTGCAGTCACTGCCCTGGGTCCTGACTAGTGTTTTTAGTATAGAACAGGTGAGATCTCTAAGACCGCTTGCTGTGCAGAGGGCTTTTGTTTACATTCACAAACCTGCATGTGTGTCCTGGGTCATAACTGTACAGGATGTCTCTTCTTTTGGGTGAAGAATGTCTGGAAGTCATTCTCTGTATCTATCCCCTTTTCTAGTAGGTTCTACACATAGTTGAAGGGAGGTTTGAAAGGCAAGGTAAAGGTGATGTGTTGTCACATGACACTAAAGTACATTCCTTGTACGTGCTGAAGGTGGCCAGAGGACAGGGACCAGTTCCAGGCCTCCTGCTGTTGGAGAATGAGCTGCGAGTTGGGGGCCCAGCTGACTGACATTGGACCTCCTCAGAGCCGAGCCAGGGTTTAGCTTCTCTCCTATATGTGGTCTCGTTCCTTCCCCAAAGCAAAGTGGAAGGAAGATGGCCACAACGGCTCTTTATTTGAGAAGACTGAGATGTAGGGAGATGAGACCCATTCCTTTAGGTTGATATTTAGTGGTACCGTCTGTCGGGTGTGCTTGGTATAGTTGTTCATCCCACAGGCACACACTTCACACCTGCCGTGAGCCTGTTCTGCACTCCACACTGGTTACAGGTCAGCACCCAGCCTGTCATCACAGCAGCCCTGCCAGGGTGCTGGGCAGGAGAGCAAGCTGGGGAGACGCCTGTGCCCTTGGCAGCACCATTGTGGAGGAGCTGGAGCTGCTGCGCACAGGGCAGCCCATCATGGCTCCCAGGCAGAATATGGTATACTTTCTTCCTTAGCTCTGCAGAGATGATTTGGCAGGTTCTTTAAAACTTTTTTTTTTTCTCAGAGTCTCAAGCTGTCGCCCTGGGTAGAGTGCTGTGGTGTCACAGCTGACTGCAACATCAAACTCGCGGGCTTAAGCAGTTATCTTGCCTCAGCCTCCCAAGTAACTGGGAATACAGGTGCCCGCTACAACACCCAGCTATTTTTATTTTTCTGTTGCAGTTGTCATTGTTGCTTAGCTGGCCCAGGCCAGGTTCAAACCTACCACCCTTGGTGTATGTGGTTGGCGCTATAACCACTGTGCTACAGGTGCCGAGCCTATTTATTTATTTTTGAGATAGTCTCACTTTGTCACCCTGGGTAGACAGCCATGGTGTCCTAGCTCACAGCAACCTCAAACTCTTGGGCTCAAGTGATCCTCTTGTCTTATCCTCCCAAGTAGCTTGGACTACAGCTGCCTACCAAAATGCCCAGCTAGTTTTTCTTTTTTCTTTTTTTCTTTTTTT